GATATAGATCACGATACTTTTCGACAAAAAGAAGTATGAAATTAATGATAATTCAATGAAAAATATGAATATTTGTGAAAAGAACATAATAAAAATCATAACACCTCCGTAATAATTAGCATCAGAAAATTTTTGTAATACAACGAAAAATTTACGACTTGTACTGTAACCTCCATAATAATTAGGCCATTAGAAAAATTTATGTGAAGTACATACATATACTTCAAAAAATTTATGACTTGACCGTAAACTTTATAATAATTAGATTCTTGTGTAATCCTCTGTAAGATTTATAGAACTATCGCAACCTTTTGTAACCTTACACAATTTTTAACTGTAAATATTGCATAAGGTTACATTTTAGTATAAACCTTTATAAAACTACGTTTTGTAAACCTTCGGGAGCCTGTAAACTATTTGTAAGACTTCGTATCTTTATGCAATATTATGGTGTAAAGTTTTGCAATATTTATATTTTAGTATAAACTTTATGAAGGGTTATGTTTAAAAAAAATATTCTTTTTTATAGCGAAGTACTTCAAAAAATTTACGATTTGTATATATTTCAAAATATTTGCTATAATCCTCTGTAATAACTACGTTTTCATTAAAGTACTTCATAAGTATTACTGATCATAATACTACGTAGCATAATCTTTCGTAAACCTATGAAGTACTTCAAAAAACTTACAATTAATAAACCTGCAAAGTACTGCGATGTACTTCATAGGTTTACAAAATCTCATAATACTTTAAAGGTTTACGCTACGTAGGATTACGATCAGTAATACATACAAAGTACTTCGATGAAAACGTAGTTATTACAGAGGATTATGGCGAAGTATTTCGAAATATTTACAAATCATAAATTTTTCAAAGTACTTTGCTATAAAAATTTTTCTGATGATATAACTGATAGAGGATTCGCTCGATATATGATAAAATATATTGTTAAAAGAAAATCCTCTCATGTATTTAACGTACAAAATGGAGACACATTAAGAGAACATATGATCGCACGAAGACTCAGCTCTATAGAATTGATGTTTTTGCTTTTAGGTTATCAAATCTGTAATTCATCAAGTATCACTGAACCTCCTAATACAAGATTGTGTCTGGTACTTTCTATCTATTTAATACATAGAGAAGATGAAAACTCTTATTATGATGATACCATAACCAAGTATATGACATGACCTATCTCTCTTGAATTTGATCCACCTACCTATCCTCAATATTTGAAAGATACTTAATCTCTCCTTCAAGACCTTTAACTAATTGATTGATCTTTCATGATCAATTGAATAATTATATTGTAAAACAATCTAAAGAAATAATAGTAAGGTATTATTTTCTTAAACTTTAAGATGTTGAATTATACTTCTATCAGAAACTTCTTCTTACTGTATCTGCAAGAGATAAATCTGATTATAGAATAGGACCTAATGGAATATACTGACAAAAAATTTTGTTATTATTTCCTGATTTCTTGACGACCTTACAAATTCAAACCATAAATAACCATTACTTACATATCACTTATCTTAATAATCAATTTGCTGAAATGCTAGACAGATTGCTACAATTCTTACACCAAGAACTCCCAACAACAATTGAGGATATTATAAGATTACAATTGGACAATATCAAGAAACTTCCTTACGTATTACCTGAAACTGCTATACTTAATCTACCAAAAGATCAGTATTATGTCTTATTAATAATCTCTTTATATCTTAACCCAAATGATGGTATCAAATGATCATATTATTTTATTGCAGGTTCTGCAATTCTGCAGGAATAGGTAAATCATATATTATAAATCTGCTGATAAATACTCTTAAACAGAAAAAATCTAAATATCTTCTCCTGACTCCTACTGGTGTTATCCCAAAATGTGAGAGGAAGAACCATCTATTCTGCATTACAGATTATTTCAAATTATGATATCTTTTATACACATGCATATATTGATAAAGAATTAAATGAATCATTAAAAGCAATTGATACTATCATCATCGAAGAAATTTTAATGATTTTAGCACAGCTCTTTAATTTTATATCTAATCTTTTTGTTAATCTCAATAATAATACTATCCCATTTGGTGGAATAAATATGATTATAGTAGGTGACCTTACTCAATTATTGCCTATTACAAGTCAACCTATATTTTGTTTAATGACCTGAATTTTATTCTATCTCTTATTTTTAATGACTTCACAATGTCAACAATCTGATGGCAGATTCTATCAAATATTATAAGAAGTTCAAATAGGTAATATATCTGCTGAAACATGGTAGATACTTAGTTAAAAACATTCTAAATTTTTATCACGTTCAGTAATTGATACACTTCTCAACACTACTAATATTGTCAGCTTTAAAGAAAATGCTTAGCAAATTAATTGAATGATTTGTAATATATTATCTGTTCCTGAAGGAAAATTCTTCATATCACAAGCTGTAGATTTAGTAAATTCCACATTGTGGAATTCTTGCTTTTCTGAAAGCTCTTTTAAAAGTAAAACCAATCTATCTTCTTCTGTAAGATTACAACCATATGCTCGTATCATGTGTCTTAATAACTCTTTATTTGAGCAAGGAATTTGTAATAGAACAGTTGGAATTATTATGGATTTAAACCTTATCAATCATTCTGTTTGAGTCCCATTTTCTATAAGAGGTTCGATAATAAATACAACCATTTATAAACAAACACATCACTTTCAACTATTTGGAAATAACTGTCACAGAACTCAATATTCACTATAGAACTGCTTTGCTCTGACTGTTCACAAGACACAAGGCTTAACTTTACCAAATGTTTCTCTCACTTTAGATCAAAATATCTTCTCTGTAGGTCAAGCCTATATCACCCTTAGCAGATGTTTTACCTGGGATAATGTTGAGATTTCTCATCTTGATAGGTCAGCATTCATGACAGATCAGAATATGATTCTAGAATATCAAAAATTACATAACATTTCTCGATTAAATCCTTATAATTTTCAATGCTCATTTTTTAAATAAAAATGATAAAGCATTACATTATCTGACTGATACCTTTTTGAATATTAAGATCTTTTTATTAGATAAATTGTTTAACTAAAATCATAATTGCTTATCATAATTTTTAATTTAATTATAAAAAAAATATACCATATCAAAAAAAAAAAACATACTAAAAATCTTCAAATCAATCATTTATGCTTTTTTTATTAAAAAAATAATCTACTCATCATGATCATCATTCTCTGTATGACAAATTACGTTTATATGACGCATTGCGCTTCTGATATGCATTAAATATGCGGAAAAAAGAACTAACTCGCTAGTTTAAACAATAACAATAGCTTAGGCCAAATGCGGAAAAAAAGAAACTAATGATTCAATATCGATACTTTTGTGCCCCCAATCGAAATTTTTTGGTATCTGAAATATATATTTTTTTCACCCCCATAATGTTTTTCATGCTTTCCATTTTAATTTAAAAAAAAAGTCATGGTGAATGCATTAGAAAGGTTATACTATCAAAGTCAAATCTATAAATTTAATCCAAATAATGATTGGACAAGTGGAAATATTATTATAGATGAATTTATTAAAGACACGCAATTAAATTCAGATGATTATTTCATCAAATGGATACCATATTCGAATTTAGAAAATTTGGAATTTCTGACAAGTGGCGGAAATTCAAACGTTTATTCCGGAACCTGGAATTCCATTAAAATCATTTTAAAAGCGATAAATTCCGAGGATGTTAATGATATTATAAATGAAGTAAGTAAAGGAAAATAAAAAATAAATTTCTCATATTTTGCTGCGCATTAAAATTTATAGTTGAGATGAATTTTTTTTGCTTTTTGTTGCTAGTTTAAAATACATCATAAATGCCGTGGACAAACTGTAATACCATTCTACGGTGTAACTAGAATGCCAGAAAAAAATAAATTCGCCATGGTGATAAAACATGCAAAGCACGGAGATTTACGAAATTACATTCGTCAATCATTTTCGAACTTGACTTGGACAGATAGAGTAAACATTCTTATCAAGCTTTCCGAAGCTATAGATTATCTTCATAAAATGGGTTTACTCCACCGAGACCTTCACAGCAAAAATATTTTAGTGGATGGTGATAAAATTTATATAAGTGATTTTGGACTTTGTCAACCAATTGATTCGGAAATAGGTAAATAATAAAAGAATAAGATGAAATTTTTTATTATTTGACTTAACGAATTTTTCCCCCCTCCAAAAGGTTCGATTGAAGGGGTTTTACCTTATATTGCGCCTGAGGTTCTGCGACAGAAACCATACACGATACAATCAGAAATATATAGTCTGGGCATGATAATGTGGGAGTTAACTTCAAACCAACCACCATTTTCAAATTATTATGATTCCAGGCTTCTCACTATAGCTCTGGCAGTTGATGAATTGAGACCAATGATGATTAAAGGAACACCAGATTTCTATGCTAATATAATGAAAAGATGTTGGAGCAACGATCCATCACAAAGACCTGAAGCCTCTCAGTTACTAAAGATTTTTAAAGAAATGTTGGAATCGTGTAAAACGTTCGATAATGATTTCGATTCACAAAACTTTCCCGTAATAAAACTGAATGATGAACAAGGTAAAGTACGAGTTTTATCATAACTTTTTGAGCGATCCGTTACCCTCCTCCCTCACATTATAATTTATCTTTTTCCTAGACATTACATTCTATTATCCTCTTAATACGAATTCAATTTATACCTCCGAAAATGAAGTGGCAGAAGCTGTAATGGATAATTATAATTCTTTATTTATTGACTTACAAAGTAAGCGTTATAAAATTTCATTATAACAAATTTTATTAAGATGATTTCCTAGCTCATATGTGAACATCTTTATTTAATTTTTCATTATCTTTTGTAGCTAATCCATTAAAATTTGAAGAAAAAGAGGTAATTAAATAATAGGCGGGAGATGTCTCTGGGAACTGGTTTTGCTTTAAAGCTATTTAATTACAATCAGGCATATGACATGGTTAAAAGCTTAATGCCATATGTCTGATTGTAATTAAATAGCTTTAAAGCTAGACTAGTTTTGTTGGGTATCCTTTTTATCACCTACCATATTTCGTAAATAAGGAATCCCTCCCCTTCAAAAAATTAAACCACTTTCCTATCCCTTTTTCTATATTATATAGATTGTAGCTAAATAGCACTTTTTAAGATTATGTCATTCTAAATATATTATTTATTGAAATTTTTTTAAAGTAATCTTAAATAAGTTTATTATGAATAAATATGAACATTCTGCATCGTCAGTTAAAATCAAAAATCTATATCGTCTATGTTACAAAAAGTTTTAGAAATAAATAAAAAAGAATACCGTACGATTAATATTTAATTTCCTTTTGTTAGCGCACTTTGAGATTCTCCTTTTGATTTATTTAAGGAACCTTTTTTAGTCAACCCTTTCATCCTAGACAAAGATCCTTTCCTAACTACACCAACATGTAAAGGTGAACCATGTGAGACGTTATTGTTCGTAAGTGTTAATGGACTTATAGTAATGATATCATGAGTCATCCTCTTTTCCTTTCGCTCCCTTAAACTCCATTGTCGGGTGATGATAGAGTTATTATCATCTTCGGTTCCCCCTTTCGTTTCATCACCGATATTTTTATAGATGTGACCAATTGTATTACTTCTCCTCCTACCACGATACCAATCTTTACTATTACCATCATTTGAACAATTTATTTCTTGTTGTCGTTCGGCTAATGCAACCAGTCTAGCGAATTTCTCCCTATTTCTCATTAATATGATCTCTTTTTCAGTTATAATTTCAGCACATGTGGTAGTATTACTAACATGATCATCATTGTTATTATTTTCACCTTGCGAATTATTAAGGTCCTCCTCTTCAATAATCATCACCCCTTGATCTAAATCCATATATTTAACAAATATAATAGCGGCCAATTCTTTACAGAACTCTTGTAATATGATAAATGCGTTAACAAAATTGGTAATTTTAGCGAAAGGGTTTATATGTATATCTTTATATATCGGAGATGCAAGTGAATCGGTCACAGGGGATATAGGACTGCCAAGATCGGATGATGACCTTGAGCTACTGGTGTTGCCGTAAGATAATCTTCTCGTATTTTTCATACCTCTACATTTAACCAATTTTAAACGAGTTTGAAAATTTGGTACATTCGATGCACCAACTTTCGCTTCAATTGTTATCTTCTCTAATATATTGATCAAACTTTTTTGGCCAGATTCGCTTGATGAATAGCTATTGTCAAAATCTCCATACAATAACCAATCAATTTTCTCGTCTAGCATACAAGCTAATTTACTTATAATACTTGTCAACACCAAATTCCTTTCTAATGGAACCTGGAGGAAATTTTCTAATTGCTTAAATATAATATGAATAAATGTACCTTCATAATAAGTCGTATCATCGTCAACCGGTGAAGAAGGATACGGAATGATCCAATTATTACAAGATAATGCGACCAATTGAACTTGTCTTTGTGCGTCCAAAAAATAATCTTCATATCCAAACCCGCTATCATTCGCCTTATCGACTGATTCTACTATTACCGACATATCCGATCCTGCTTTATTATCATCCAATGGCATTAATGATAATAGTTTTCTCAATAATATTCTGGGGCTTTTCTTGTTCCATATCATTGCATTATTCGTTGTAGCTACGTTATCATTACTGAATGAGGATAAATTTCTAAATACTAGATTGTATAATGCGAATTGATTATAAGTTTCAAGTATACTATCAAATAATCTTAATGTAGATAAGCTTAATCTATCTTCTGCGTTACTACATCTATTTATAAGTATCTCTCTTATAGAAGTAATTTGTGTGATTTTTCCTCCTAGTAATTCTTCCTGAGGAATTCGTTCGGGTTCTAATGAATGCCCTAAGAGTGTACTAAATAATGAATCGAGTATTTGATGATCTTTAATGTGTTTAATTAATTCAATCATGTAAGTTGTTGCCGCCGTTGCTTGTTCATCTAATGGACTTAATAATGCTGGTATAACCGAACTTTTTATAAATTCATTTACCAAACTATCTGATAATTTTGATATCAATATCTAAAATAAATAAATAAATAAATATCTTCAATATTAAAAATTTATGGCTACGATAAAAAAAATTTACTTGATTATCAACTCCTGCAATTTTATTAATAAATTGCCAAAATTCAAAAAATTCTTCTACTGCTATTTCAGGTTTAGACGTATTAATATATTGTAATATTTCAGATGGCGTACGACAGTTATTCCTATTACCACTTGATATATTTACCATCAATGTATTATTATTTGGTAACGTTGCGAATGCTACTTTTAATCTCTTTTCCTATAAAGAAAATTATTTAATTTAAAAAAAAAAAATTTAAAAGGTATTTTTTACACTTACCAATGTTTCAAAAAATTGGGAATCTTTGATTAAATAATTTGAAAAATCTTTGTCATCTTTTAACATATTTATTATTAAATATAATGCTTCTCTTGACACCATTCCTGTTTGTCCTAATACATTCATATAATCTAATAGCATTGAAAATATTGGAAAATCTGGCTAAATACATGAACAAAAAAAAATTTTTTCTTTTTAAAAAAAATTATATTATTATTATTACTCCCCCTTCTTGAATGTATACTTACTCCTTTTGATCGTTCAAAATAAATTCCAATTAATACAGGTTGAATGATCATTTGTCTACAAATCATATGGATTAATTTAACTAATCCTTGCTTAAGGAAATTATCCTCTTCAATATCTGATTCATATGATATTAATATTAATCTTTGTATGTATGAAGAAATTTCTGATGTGTTTAAAAGTTTTGGTGGAACATTAAGTATGAAATGTGTAAAAAAATTTAGTACTTGAATGATCATTCCTTTCGGAACCTATAATTTTTTTTTTTAAAAAAAAAAAAGCAATAATTTTTTAGGAAGCAAGAGAGAGAAGAGTAAAAGAGTTATACAATATACTTACATCATCTTTAGCGTATTTTACTAGATCTCTTAATACATAATTTTCAAATATGAATTCAATACATTTCCTTTGCACCTTATTTTCATCATATATGTGACCAGTATTGAAACTGTGACGAATTCTTATTTGTATTTCTTCTTCTTTAATAATTCTAATTATATTTTCCAAATTTACTGGTATTTTTGTTAAATTTAAATCAATCAACTTACTTTGCTCTACAATTGGTTTATTTATAAAAAAATTAAGCACATCAATTTATTCATACATGATAAAATGTTAAAAATAAAAAAATAAATTATTTTTCTTTTCCAGTTACCTTTAGATTTTGTTGTGGAAATACTATCATAATATTTTTTTATAGACTTCCATTCTTCTTGCAATTCTTCATCTTTAGATTTAATATGTGGTGCTATAATTTCAATTGCATGATTAACCATCCTTGATAAAAACATGTTTTTATAATTAAAATTGTGATTATGGATTATCTGATCGATTCTTGCTCGAATCAAAAATACTTTCAAAAAAAAAAGTATACAGTATGTATGATATTTTTTTAAAAAAAAAAACTCCGAATCGATTCAAATATTAATAATTTGAAGAATTTGAAAAAAAAAATTTGAACCGTTCTTTTCCTCTCATTTATATAATTTGACAATTAAAGTACTTTTAAAAAAGTTGCGGTTCCATACAAATAGTCATTAATCCCCTCTTTAAGTTTGGTAAATCGGTTTAATTACTTCATTTCCCAATATCAGTTACGATAAAAAAAAAAAGTGAGTGTGAATGTATTATTTTAACCTTTTTTTAAGATCTGAATTCAATTCTAGCAATTACGGCAGTTACACATACAGATTGTACCACTTAATTTTTTGATTGTATTCAAATTTTTTTATGTTTCTCGCATATATTTCAATTCGTTATGGATTATTTAAAATCAATTTCGAGAGTTGTATTAGGCAAAGATATACCCTCATTTCCTTACAATATTGGAGAAAAAATTGAAGCATTTGAGGGCCTTTCAATATGGTCTTTACATAATGGAACTAAAAAGGTAATGGAATCGGGTTTATGGTTTATATATGATTTTTTCAATGGTTGAATTAATCCTTTTTTTCTTCTATTAATTTAGGAAGATGGAAGTTCTGTATCTGTTTTTACTTTCGATTGTAATAAACAGAAAGAGAGGCTACAATTAGCAAAGAATGCATTCAAAAAATTTCGCACAATTCGACATCCAGATTTATTGAGATATCTAGATGGTGTTGAGGTAAAAGGAATTTGATATTAATTTGGGATTTTACACGTATATTTAATGATTTAGTATCCCAATTTTTCGGTTTACTTATTATTGATTTTTTAAAAGACAGATACTTTTATTTATATCGTGACAGAATATGTTTCACCTTTAAAAAATCAGTTAAGATTTCATGAAGATAATAATTTGAAATTATGGGGATTATATAAAGTTGGAGTAAGTATTATCTAATCTGACTGATTTATTTGTTTAAAATCTTTAACCTTCTTTTCATGTTTAGAGTGCGTTGAAATTTTTGAACGATGATTGTTCAATAATTCACGGCAATGTTCGAATTTCTTCGATATTTACCAACAAAGCTGGTGAATGGATGTTAGCAGGATTTGAACTTATGAGTTCTATGAAGGAAGAAAATCCAGTAATTTATGTAAGCAATATATATGTTCTACTATATATTTTGTCATCGGCTTATTAAATTCTTTCCTTACCAGATGTACGGTGGTTTAGTTGTCGAATCTGCTAAATACGCATCCCCGGAAGTTTTAAAAAGTTCATGGAATATTTTGAAAGAGTAAGGCTTGTTTTAAAAGGTTTTATTCATATATATATATATTTATTTATTTATTTATTTACTTAATAATAATGTCATTTATAATTTATTAATTCCTAATTCAGCCAAGAGATTTGGGTGATTGATTCTTGGAACTATGGAATTTTGATATATGAAGTTTATAATGGTGAATTCACATCAACCAAACAATTAGATAATATAAATTTAATTCCACAGGTTTCAATACTTTAAGAACAAATAATTATTCTCATTATTAGAATTAATTTCTAAATAATTTTATTTTTCTTAGAATATGCGTGATCTATATAGTCAATTGGTTGCTACTAACCCTAAGCAGAGACTTAGTATCTCTTCTTTTATTGAAGATGGGCTGAGACCCGGTGGATTTTTTCAAAATGATCTAGTTCAAATTAATTTGTTTTTAGAGAATATGAATATCAAAGAATCTAGAGAGAAAGATTTGTTCTTTAAGCATGTTTCTAGTTTTATTTAATTAATTTTATCTTATTTACAAAAGTTTATTTGTAATTAATTTCATTTTTTTCTTTAAAAAAAAATTATATATATATATATATAGAAAGTTGAACAATTGTATTGACAATTTCCCGGAAAATATCTGTAAATACAAAATATTACCTGAACTTATTAATGCTCTAGAATATGGGTCAGGCAAGTAAAAATTTGAAACAATTAAAATTTACTATTCTAGAATAATTGTATCAGTTTTAAATCATTTTGTATTAATATAGGAGGTGCTAGAGTATTGCCACCTATAATAAAAATAGGAAACACGCTTGATGATACAGAATATGAACAATTGATCATAACAGCGATCATAAAAATGTTTGCTGTACCTGATAGAACGATTCGTTTGAGTTTATTGGAGAATTTGGGATCTTTTATTGATAAATTAAGTAACAAGATTATCAATGATCAAATATTTCAACACGTGGTAAGTTAAAATAAAATGTTTCTGATAAATATAAAAGTGTATATATTTATTATCATTAAAGTTTCTTTTTATTTTTGTTACAGGCAACAGGATTTACAGATACTGCACCTATTATAAGAGAAAGCACTGTCAAGTCTATACTTTTGATTGTTCCAAAGGTACGATTAAAAAAATATATATATAAATGAACTTTGTAACTGCTTTGTATTCAGATTTGTATATTCACATATTTTTTTATTTTTTTATATCTACATATATTTAGTTATATGATCGTACTATTAACAATGATTTATTAAAATATCTGGCCAAGTTACAGATGGATGAAGAACCAGGAATAAGGACAAATACCACAATTTGTCTTGGAAAAATAAGTAAACATTTGAATGATAGTGTGAGTAATCATCTTTATTTATTTAAAACAACATTTTACTTAATATTAAGGTATATTTCTCTTTAATATAATTTAAGACAAAGAAGAAAGTGCTAGTGCCTGCCTTTACGAGATCATTACGAGATCCGTTCCCGCATGCAAGAGTCGCGAGTTTAATGGCTTTAGCCGGTAAAGATATTCTTTTAAATACATTTACTAAAAATTTATTTTATTCAACTTTTTGATATTTTTATTATAGCAACGTCAGAATATTATGATGCGACTGAATGTGCAACCAAGGTATTACCTTGCGTGTCATTAGTATTGGTAGATAAAGAAAGGTCTGTTTCGACAATTTTCCATTCTGAATCGTAAACTTTACTTAAGTAACGCTTATATTGATCAGGCCTGTCCGAACACAAGCTTTCAAAACTGCTGATATATTTATAAAGCGATTAGAGAAATTGGCCGAGTCAATGGTGAATTTTCATTATATTTTTCAAAAAACATTCAACGATTTCACGTGAATAAATATCAACTTATTTTGTATTATAGCCCGATACAGCTATACCTGACCCAAATTCTACTGAAAATTCGTCTGTCGCGGGTAGTGTTGCTGGAGTCGCAGTTAGTGTTGCAGAAAGTTGGGCAGGATGGGCGGTCACATCTATAACAAAAAAGGTAAGTCTTATCTGATGGCATTATTCATTATTTATTAGGGATTACTTACATTATTAGTTTGAAAGATTGCTGGATCAGGAGTGGAAGGTGAAATTACTGCACAGTCTTCAAGTGATCCACCTACAAGTGTGACAATTGATACGCCACATACACTTACAAAAAATAAAATAGGAAGTGGACACTTGTCTCCAATTTTAAACTCTTCTCTTGTGGATCAAGCTGATCACGATACTTCAAATGTATGGGAAAATGAAGATCATTTGGTTACTGTGGATAATTTAAACATGAAAGTCAACAATGATTGGGGTAAGAATTACCAACCCCTCTAATGTTTTTTATTTTTTTTTTATTTTTTTTTTCTTATTCATTTTTATTTTTACATTATAGAATTACAATCTTCATCTTCACAACACTCTTCTCAGTCAACTTCAACATCAACTAGCATTGGAAATAAAATTAGTATGAATTCTGCATCATCAGCAATGAAATTAGGAGGAACAAAATGTGGGTCTAAAAGTTACTTGTTTTATTATCTTATATATAGCTAATTATTGTATTTAATTTTAGCACATCCTACAGATGGATGGGATTTAGATGATTCAGATTGGGGTAATGGTGAAGGGTGGGATAATAATTGGAATAGCTCAAGGCCATTATCGACTGCTTCAAGCAAATCAACAAGTTCTATACAAAAATCTTCAAACACTCCTAATGTTTTATCAAAAGAAGAAAAGGCCGTCGAACTTAATAAAAAGAGAGAGGAGAGAAAACAGGTAATTTATATTCATTGATTTACTTTTAATTTCGTTGATCTAATCGTTATCATTTTAAAAAAATATCTACATGTTCATTACAGAGAATGGCAGAATTAAGAGAGCAAAAGAAAAAGAGTAATGGGCTTGGTGCTAAAAAAATATAATATTAATAATATTATTTACATGAAAGTTTACTGTTTTAATTTATTTATTATTTTTTTAAAAAAAGGGTGGATTTAATAAATTAATTAATTTTAGATTATTAGATGATTTTTCTTATATAATATATATTATCCCCTGATTGTCACCATTTACGTAATTATGCAAATAAATTATGCCTACTAGGCGATCGTTTAATATGTATTTATTTATGCATTTCTAGTACATATAAATGGATTACTTTGCAATATTAATAGTAATATTACTACAATTAATAAATTTAAGTCGACTATTATTAAGAAATAAATCATTTTTACGTTTTGAAGGAACCATATTTTGGATTTCAGAGAATGGTTCCTTTTCTGTTTCTGATATATTAATTTCTTCTTTAGATATTTTGTTAGAAATAAGTTTTGCATTATCATCTCCTTTTATGTTAAGTTCTTTCTTATTAGATTCTTTTATATTAAAATTTTCCTATAAATAAATATATTAAAATTTTAATATTTAAATTGTTTTTCGATATCTAAATTAAAAAATTAATTAATTATATAATTAATTAATGAATAAAATCATAATTACTTATACATTTAATCCTGCTAAAGATCTATGCAAAGTTATATTCATTATAGCTTGTGAATCTAATCCTTCATCATTTAATTTTTGATCAGTATATTTTCGTAATGAATGATTAACAATTCTTCTATTTATGCAATCAATTCCAGTAATATTGCAAATCTCTTTTAGCATTCCATACAGTTTGTCTCGACCCATATGAGAAGTAGAATACCAATTTCCATTTTCAATATCTAAATAACAAATTTAATATTTTTAAGTTTATTAAAATACATTAAATAAAAATTAGAAATGTTTAAATACCTTTTAGATTTTTATTTATATGAAGAAAAAGATTTTCTTTGGCATTTTTTGGTCGTAAGTTTAAGTATTTTTTAATATTATAGCATGTCCCATATATTCCATTTTCATCTGATGATATAATATGTTTAGAATGCTGATTAAAACTTGTTCAATGATAATAACCCCCTTAATGAGTTTAATCATGAATTGTTATAACATTAAATTCATCATCATCGCGTTCTTTAAAATGATTAGTCATAATATTATGGTAAGATCTACCTTTTCGTGCTGTGCAACATCTTATCCATAAAAAAACTCTTCTTAATAATCCATCTGATGTATTATTTGACATATTAGGATGCTCAAAGATTTGAATCATTTCTTCATCAGTAAGAGGATCAGCTCCATTTAGTGTTCCACAAAAAATCTGATTCAATCCAAATCTGATCTGGATCCGACGGATCAGATTGAATCAAATTTATCAGATTCGAATCAGATTCAGATCCAGATTTTGATTTGATTCGATCCGTCAGATCTGGATCGAATTCAGATTTGGATTTGTTTCAATCTGACGGATTCAGATTTGGATTTAGATTCGATCCATCAGATTTGGATTTGAATTCAAATCTGATTTGTTGAATTTGAAATAAAAAATGCCGCCCTGAAGTCAAACACGACATTTTTATATAAAAAATTAATAAAATTAATTTTTTTATTAATAAATACCACATCCGACTTTCAGGGCAGCATTTTAATATAAAAATTAGTTTTATTAATTGTTTTATTAATAAATGCCACATCTGATTTTCAGGGTGGCATTTATTATTAAATAAATTAATGTTTAATAAAAAAATCCCATTCCAAAAGTCAGATGTGGCATTTATTAATAAAACAATTAATTTTTATTAATTTTTTATATTAAAATGCCGCCCTAAAAGTCGAACATGGCATTTATTAATAAAAAAATTAATTTTATTTATATAATAATGCCACGTCCGACTTTCGGGGTGGCATTATTATTAAATAAATTAATGTTTAATAAAAAAATTCTGCCCCAAAAGTCGGACGTGATATTTATTAATAAAAAATTAATTTTTATTAATTTTTTATATAAAAATGCCACCCCAAAAGTCAGACGCAGCATTTATTAATAAAAAAAATAATTTTTATTAATTTTTTATATAAAAATGCTGCCCCAAAAGTCGGACGCAGCATTTATTATTAAAAAAATAATAAAATGCCGATCTGAACGTCAGAGGCAGATTTTTGTTAAAAAAACAACAAAATTGTTGTTTTTTTAACATTAAAACACCATTTCGAATGTCGGAGGCAGATTTTTGTTAAAAAAACAACAATTTTTTTGTTTTTTTAATATTAAAACGCTATTCTGAACGGCGGAGGCAGATTTTTGTTAAAAAATTTTTTTTGATCTGTCAGATACGGATACGGATTCAGATTTGTCGAATTCAGATATGGATTCAGATTCAGATTTGTCAGATTTAGATCGAATCGGATTCAGATTTGTCAAATTCAAATCGAATCAGATTTGGATTTTTCAGATTCAGATCGAATAGGATTTTGCCCAAATCTGATCTGATCCGATTTGTGCAGAACACTAGCTCCATTCCATTATAATCACTATTATTAATTTTTCTAACTCAATAACTGGTATGCAAGGTATCACATACTGCCTTAAACTCATAATCTTCATGTATATTAAATGATTCTTTATCTTTGAATAATTCTTAAAAAACCTATTAATAGCAGATATTCCATTGTATAATGAAATTGCTTTAAATTCTTTTTTTTCTTTTGTTTTTATAATTACTATAAATTCACATAAAAGCATTACAATAACTTTTTTATCATAAAGTGTAAGTAAATCTATATCCGGTTGAGTGCTCTTCACAAATTCCTTAAATCTAGAAAACTATAAATGAGTATTTTGTTGAGTATTTTTAGGCTTCGATATAGTAATATATTTTTGTTAAGTTTTTACATAAGGACGGTCATATATTTCCTTAGAATTGAATGATTTTGAAGTTTCTTCGTATATTTCAGTAAGTTGAGCATTTTGCATATGAGTAAATTTATCTTTTAGTTCATCTAAAATGGCTGTATCATTTTTTGAATTTAATAACTCAGAAGCTTTTATAAAACCTGCCATAAGAAAAAAAGAAATTTAATTTAGTAATTATAATTTACCACTTATATATTTGCGTCAAATAAACTTAAACTTTATAATAATACATAATTATATAAAGTTACAAAATAATTACGTAAACTTTAGGAGACTATTACGTAAATGGCAGGATATAACTAATACTTATCGTCTTTAAAATATTTATACAGTCAGACCTCCATACAGTCACCTCATATACAGTCACACCTCTTTATAAGCACCCGTTTTTATAAAACGGAATTTAATATTATTAAATTACCTCTATACAGTC